AGCTTTAATTGGGAATGGATCATGCATTTAATCTCAGCACTTGGTACATTGAGGCAGGAAGATTCCAAGTTCTACTGTAGCCTGGGTTGTATATTGAGATATAGACCAGCCTGGGATACATGGTGAGACACTGTCTCAAAAAACAAAACAATCCAGGCATGGTGGTACATTTCTGTAATCCCAGCAGGCCAGCCTGGGCTACATAGCAAGAGACTGTCTTTAAAAAAAAAAGCTAAACAGTCCCTCCCAAAAGTTTTACTCTAGTAATAATTTACTATGTTATTAATTTAATCCATGTTATGACTCATGTCTTCTGTGTAATATAAATATGAATTGTAGTTTCTTATACTTACAGTATAATAATTTGAGAATAAGTAAATTTTATAAATCTAAAATTTAGAACTTTAGAGGAGTCATAATTTTTTTTAAACTAAAGACTATTTTTTGCTACACTGATTAGTCTAATGGGCTAATTTGATAGTTTTTTTTTAAAGCAGTTTTAATGAGATGTAATTCATGAACCATGTAATTGCTCTGGTTTTTGTTTGCTTTTGTTTTCTTTTGGTGTAGTGATTAAACCCAAGGCCTCAAGCATGCTATACACACAATGTATGCTCTACTAAGCTACATCTCAGCCACAGCTTATGCTTTTCATTTTATTTTTTGTAGTACTGGGAATCAAACCTAGGGCCCTGTACATGTGTCTGCCCACTTTAAGTGTACAATTCAGTGTTTTTTGGAATATTCAATTATTGTTTTAAGTTGTAGTAATGCATATACCTAACTTAAAATTTGACATTTTAATGACTTTTTTTTTTTTGGTACTGGGAATTGAACTCGGGTCCTTGCGCTTGCGAGGCAGGCCTCCGAACTGCTGAGCTAAATCCCCGGCCCTTTAATGACTTTTAATGTCAAGGCACAAACGTAAACTGTGTAACTATCAAAAACTCTCCATTTGTCCTTATATCTAGCCCCTCATAACCTCTAATTTACTTTCTGTCTCTGAATTTACCTAGTCTAGATATTTTACCTAATTTGAATCATATAATATTTATCATTTCATGTCTGGCTTATTTCATTTAGCATAATGTTTTCAAGACTTCTCCATGAAATATGTACCCAACCTTTATTTCTTTTATGGCTGAATAATAATTGTGTAAAAGTACCATTTTCTGTTTATTCATATATTGATGGACACTGTGGTTGTTTCAACTTTGTGGCTGTTGTGAACAATTCTGGAATGGAAAATGAATAATTCTATAATAATGCTGTTTGAATCCCTGTTTTCTTTTGTATATATAGGAGTAGGATTGCTTGATCATATGGCAACTTTGTGTTTACCTATTTTAGAAAACAGTCAAACTGTTTTTCACAGAAGCTGCACCATTTTATATTTTCATTAGCAGTATATAAAGGTTCCAGTTTTTCTGCATTCTCAACAAAATTTATCCCTCTCCCTCTTTATATATTATGGCCATTCAAGTGTGTAAGAAGTGATATCTCATTGTGGTTGTGACATGTCTCTAATCACCAATACTGATGATTTTCTAGTGCTTGTTGACCATATATGTATCTTCTTTTGAAGACATGACTTAAATTTGACATGACTTGCTGATGGGATATGTGAAGGTCAAGAAAAAGGAATCTAGTTTGAGAAATAACTTTTAAGTTTTTAGATTAAATTAATGGGTGAGTGCATGGGTGAGTGCTGCAATGAATGATACTTGAAAGATAGATTTGAAGGAAATTTAGGGCTTCTCTTTTGGTTCCTGTTAAGTTTGAGATACTATGAAACATTCACATTGAAAAATCAAATGTAGGATTTGTTAGCTTATTGCCTTAAAGTCAAGGATTGCAAAAAGGAATCATAATGTCAAGGACTGAATAAGCTAACCTATTATATATACTAGAAGAGAAGAAAGCCAGAAACTGAGCTTTATATCATTTCTGTTTAGAGGTCAGATTCAAATCAGGCATTGTGGTGAACCTCACCCTGGGAGGCTGAGGAAGGAGGGTCACAAGTTTGAACCCAGCCTAGATAATGTAGTGAGACCCTGTCTCAAGATACAAATTAAAAGGTTCTAGATCAGTAGTGGCAAACCTATGGCATGTGTGTTGCAGCAGGCATGCAGAGCCCTTTCTGTCAGCATGTGAGCTAATTATATGAGTTTTTTCTAAACTAAAACTGCAGTATTCAGGTTTACTGGCAGCACTGGCACTTTGCAATAAATATGTAAAAGTGAGTTTTGGGTTGCAGTTTGGGTACTTGGTCTCTAAAGGTTTCACCATCACTGGTGTAGATGAATATAAGCATCCATTTCATTTAACACTGTGGAGCCAGAGATATCTTTAACATAAATAACTGCATTGTGGAAGGATGCAATGAAACAAGCTTTCAGTGAATTGAAGCACAAATAGATATACTATATGCAAAAATAAATTTCAAGCAAATAAAATATTGCTATTTAAAAACAAAGCTTTATGACTTTAGCACTAACTTTCTGACTTTTCAAACAAGACATAAAGATAAAAACAAGCCATAAAGGAAAAAAACATCATTTGGGGAGATACATTAAAATGAAAAAGATGTGTATATCAAACGAAGGGAGTGACAAGGCAGTTTGCTGGAAGATATTTATATCATATATCACCACTAATAATTAATATCCAGAATTACTACAACTGAGGAAATGATAGCAAGTCAGTAGAAGAGGAGCCAAAAGATATAAATAGGCAATTCACAGAAGAGGAGACCTGATTGGCCAACTATATTAAAAGATGTCCAGGGCTGAGAGGGTGCTCCCTCCTTGCCTGGAAAGTGTAAGGTCTTGGGTTCAGTTACAAATGCTATTCAAAAAATAAAACAAAAGAGCTCAATCTTACTTGCAATCAGGAAAATCAAAACCACAAAATACAATGGTTTATAAAAGAAGTCTAACATTACAGGAATTGGCAAGAAGGTGGAACAAAGCTTTCTTTAAAGAGAAGAAATCGTAACATCAATCACTTGAAAGTTGCATTTAAAAATAAGCTAAAAGGGCCGGGGATTTAGCTCAGCAGTTTGGTGGCCTGCCTTGCAAGTGCAAGGACCTGAGTTCAATCTCCGGTACCAAAAAACAAACAAACAAACAAACAAAAAATAAGCTAATGATATAAATGACAGTGTGAAATAGGAAGAAAAGTGCTAAAGGTGTAGAGAAGTGGCAAGGGTAGGGAAAAGGTAATAAGGGAAAAGAAAAAAAACATGAGAAAATGAAAAAATAGAAATAAAATATTTGTAAATAGGGAAGGGAGGAGGGGGTGAAGGGAGAGCAGGAATAAGGGGAAAAAATGAGAACCAAGACCTGTCATTTGAAGGTACAAGATCCCAATGATGAATGTAACTGTACTGTGTACCTAAAATGTACCAATAAACTCAATGAGGAAAAAAGAAATGTTAATGTTGGGCCAGGGATTTAGCTCAGCAGCACCATGACTGCCTTGCAAGTACAAGGTCTGAGTTCAATTCCCAGTACCAAAAATAACAAAAACAAAAAAATAAGCAAATGTTTTAGATTTTTTTTCTGTTAAATGTAAGAAAAAGTCTTCTAGTTATTTTTATTTAACAATTTAAAAAAATCATTTGGGGATCAGAAAAGGGAGGCAGGTAGCAATCTTTAAATTGTTTTTATTTAAAGAAACATTCAGGGCCAGGGATTTAGCTCAGTTGTTCTGCCGCCTGCTTCATAAGCACAAGGACCGGAGTTCAATCCCTAGTACCAAAAATAAATAAATAAATAAATAAATAAATAAATAAATAAATAAATAAATAAATAAATAAAAAATTTAAAAAGAAACATTCTACTTGTAATGCTTGTAATCCAGAGAGGCTAAATCTGGAGGATCACAAATTGAATCCCACCTGGCATCTTAGTAAGCTCCTGTCTCAAAATTAAAAATAGGTAGGTAGGTAGATAGATACATAGATAGATAGGGCAAGCTGGTAGAATGCCCTAGGTTTGATGCCCAGTACCACAAGTGTGGTGGTACACATTTGTAATTCTTGTGTTGGGGAGGATGAAGCAGGAGAAATTGTGAGTTTGAAGTCATCCTGGGCTACACGGCTATTTCTTCAAGGCCAGCTTACCAAATAGCAAGAATGTCTCAAAACAAAACAAAAACTTGTCATGATCAAAGTTTTCCTATTTATATTTGAGGAAGTCATCTACAGAGTTTTTTACACTTTTTCCTTTCTTGGGGGGGTTATTTACATCTGAAAATTCTTTTGGCATTTTTTGTGATTAAAACTAGTTTGGCTAGTTAAAGTCTGTTTTGAATTCCTTTCTCCATTTCCTGTCACTAATGCGAAGAAATAAAGGAAAAGACTTGATTTCCCAACTCCCTTGCAGTAGGAGGAACTAACATAGTCTAGGTAAATAAGAGCACAGAAAGGTACCTTAGGTTGATATTTCCTCCTCTTCCTTCTTGCTACCTAAAACAAGAACCAGTGGTTCAGCAGTCATTTGGTGACCTTGTTGGATGTCATGCAGATAATAGATGAAAAGTGTGAAGGTAAAAAGCCAGTATATTTAAATACACAGAGAAGGTCTAGGTCCCTGAGTTAACGTAGAAACCTTAGATTTTTAACTCATGCTGTGTGAGACAAGTTGAGCTACTGTTATTGGATTTTCTGTTGTTTGCAGCCATATCCACCCCCTGATTTACCTTGTTTTCATGATTAAATCTTTACAATCATTAGTTGCCATGAATAGCTTATGATAAATGGGAATGCACAAAGTACAAGTTTTTTACTGTTACCATAGTAAAGAATACTTGAGCTTTTGGTTATCATAAATATGTGTGCATGTTTGTGTACACACATGTGTATAGGTAGATACATAATCACTTGGGCTATACTGTATATGAGAGTGAAAGAATATAAGGATAATGTTCTTCATAATGTGCTCCCTTATGATATTTAACATTTGAAAAATTAGCATCGCAAAAGTATATTTCAGACTGAAAAGCATCTTAACATGTGACTCAATTTCCTGTTTACAAATTAGAAAACTGAGACTGTGAGAGAAAGCATGTCCAACTTACTTGGATACTTATTCACTGATTTTTCTTATTTCACTTGTTTATTCTAGAATGTGGTCTAAGAGCACTGAATCGAGTACTACATGATGAAATTCTTAATAAGCCTATGGAAACACTTAAGCTTGCTATTCCGTCAGGGATATATACTCTTCAGAATAATTTACTCTATGTGGCACTGTCAAATCTAGATGCAGCTACCTATCAGGTACTTAAAATACATTTATCTTAGTCCTTTTAAGAAACAAACAAACAATAATATTGCTATTTTTCTTTTCAGGTCACATATCAGTTGAAAATTCTTACAACGGCATTATTTTCTGTGTCAATGCTTAGTAAAAAGTTAGGTGTGTACCAGTGGCTCTCCCTAGTAATTTTGATGACAGGAGTTGCTTGTGTACAGGTAATATTTAAGATAAGTATACCCTTCATTTTCATCAGTGTTTCAAAACCTTATTTATTTTGCCTAGAGAATATGGTTCTATTGTTGAAGTAAATGTGGACATATTGTTTGAGGTCTTCCTTTATTAAAAAATATATTGCCACTATGATAGAAATAAATAAAAATAAAATCTTATAAAAAGAAATGAATAAATAAGTCAGCACCAGTGGCACATGCCTATCCAGCACTCTGGGAGGAGGCTGAGGCAGGAAGATTGCAAGTTTGAACACAGCCTCAACAACTTAGTGAGATCCTATCTCACAATACAAAAGGGCTGGGATTTAGCTTAGTGTAAGGGCCCTGGGCTCAATCTTCAGTACCACCACCCCGCTAAAAAAAACTGGGCTGGGATGTTACTCAGTGGTAGAATTTGGTACCTATCAGTACACACAGAAAGAAAGGTAAGGAGAGAGGGAGGGAACAATGACTAGTTAGGGAAATATAATACTGCATGTAAAATAAATATGATTTTTTGGGAGGCTGAGGCAGGAGGATCGCTGTGAGTTTGAGACCAGCCTGGACTACATAGTGAGTTCCAGGTCAGTCTCAACTACGTGTAGTGAGACCCTGTTTCAAAAAAACAAACAAAAAAAAAATAGCTGATTTTTACTGGATATGTAGAACATTTGATGCGAGCTACTCCCGTAATGTCTGTCACCTTCTCTGAAGTTATTTTCTTGGTTCTCTTTCGATCTTTCTGATGATGATTCTTTATTGATTTCCTTCATGGAGTATTCTTGTTATTCTCTTCACATATAGATTAGATTGTATCATTAAATAATTTAGCAACTTAGTAAGATGCTGTCTTTAAAAAAAAAAAAACACTGGGGGTGTAGCTCATTGCTAAGGCCATGGGTTCAATCCCCAGTACCATCACCAAAAAGAAAAGTTTGTTTTGGAGGACAAATTTTAATAATACTGGCTTTAAGGAAGTAACAAGTTTCTGAATAGCAGTAATTGAAATCTTGGACTTGAACTCAGAGGAGATGTCAGTGCTTCTGTGATCAACTCTCCAGCAAAGAGAGGTTTAATATACACTCTACTGTAGAGTTAGAAGGCATATGTAGCTATTTAAATTTAACTAATCAAAACCAAATTAAAATTTCAGTTCTTTTTTTCTTTCTTAGTTTCTTGAGATAAGAGTCTTGCTGTGTAGTTCAGACTGGCCTTGAATTCACTATGTAGCCGAGGCTGGACTCAAACGCACGGCAATTCTGCCTCAGTCTCTCCAGTGCTGGGATTACAGATATGCACCACCATACTGGTTTAAAGTTTCAGTTCTTTAGTCATACTACCCACCTATCAGTTGCTCAGTAGTCACGCGAAGATAGTGGTTACCCTATTGGACAGTGGAATTATAGAACATTTCCATCCTTACAGAAAGTCTATTGAGTACTGCAAGAATAAAGATTGGGAGGACAGGACCAAGAAAAGCAGTCCATTTCAAGAGGCAAGGAATTAATAACTTCCACAATGAAGGCAACTGAATAATAAACGAATAATTCTGATTTTTTGTTTTGTTTCTGTTTTTTGAGACAGGATCTCACTACATAGTTCACACTGGCCTAGAACTAAGTAAGGTTGGCTTTTCTTCCACCTCAATTTCTAGAGTGCTGGAATTATAGTTGTGTGCCACCACACCCACAGCACTCCAATTTTGATATTGACAGTTATTGAGCTGGGGATTTAGCTCAGTGATGCTGCCTCCTGCCTCATAAGCACAAGGTCCTGAGTTTGATCCCTGGTACTAAAAAAAAAAAAAAAAAAAATCCAGCTAGTAGAAGAACTATCAGAGAAGTAAAAAAATAGATTTGATAGAAAATTTAGCATAGTTATAGGGTATCAATGGATTAAATTAGGGTCAGTAACATCATAGGGTATCTTATTGATATGATGATCTTGGAGTCCCTTCCAAAACATTTTCTTTCAAGAGTACTCAGTTTTCCTTCATTTATTGATAACTCTTTCCTTAGAGGTATTTTCCTTCATTTTGCTTGGTTTAGCATATTTCTTTCCAGTTAACTATGTTTTTGCTGAGGCAACAAAGGGAACATACAATTCTAATCTGTTCATCTACCTATGTTTGCAATGATAGTTTTTAAAATATTAGACTTTAAGGGATTATCTTAAAGTAATAGATTAGTCTGTAATAAATGAAATGTAAATATTGTCTCCTAGGGTATTTTTTGAAATTATGAATTGAAATAGTAATATGTTATTACTGTGAGGGAAAACAACAAATGATTCTAAGACTTTTATTCAAAAGCTTTCCTCTGCAGTTCCCCAAAAATTATATTGGATGTATTTTTATGTAAGGTCTGTGTGGACTCATAATATGCACTTTGTAAGATAGTACAAAAATTAAACATCAGTTTTATTTTTGCTTGTATTTAGTGGCCCTCAGATTCCCAAGAGCTTGATTCTAAAGAACTCTCAGCTAGCTCTCAGTTTGTGGGCCTCATGGCAGTTCTCACAGCCTGTTTTTCAAGTGGCTTTGCTGGAGTTTATTTTGAGAAAATTTTGAAGGAAACAAAACAATCAGTATGGATAAGAAACATTCAGCTTGGTAAGTTTTAAATGTTCTCTAATATATTTTAAAAAGTGATTATGTTGTTATATTTATAAATTTCTATATATATTTTAAAATAAATAAGCCTTGCCTAAAATCCGCTATTGATGCAAGTATCTGGCAATGGTTCTGCCTTTTCAAAAATGCCCTTTATTCAAGAATATGGAACTTTAGATTTGAAATAAGAGTGCATCCTGTTCTGTCCTCATCATGGGAGGTTTAGCAAATTTATCCTTGGTTGCCATTTTTTCCCAGAAGCTATTGCAATTAACTTACATATTTCACTCCTAGAAAAGGGGATTAAGATACTTAATAAGAGAAGTTGGCAGTGATTAACTTTTCATTTCTTTTAAAACCTAAAAATGACTTTGTATTTCAGTGTTTTAGCCCTTAAATACTACTGCATTTTTCTAACTGAAGGTATGTAGCTCAAAGAAAAAAACAAAACAAAACAAAACACGTTGAAGGATTGCCTTTCAACAAATATTTAGAGTATAGTATTGTTACGTTTCAATCTTCACACATGGATTCCAACAGTATTCTTGGCTTATATTCCTTTTGGATAGTGCTACATATAAAACTGTCCATGTAAGTAGCACTCATCTGCAAATCAACACCTTCTCTTTTAAGCCTTTGTCCACCTGACTTTAGGGCTTATTTTTTACAAACTCAAGTTTTTTTGGTGGGGGAGGGTACTGGGGATCAAACTCAAGACCTTTTGCTTTGAGGCAGGCTGTGGCACCACTGAGCTAAATCTCCAGCCCAGGGTTTATTTTTTAACCACCCCACCCCCAAATCGGGTTTATTTAATAGATACACCATATTTCTCCTGATCAGCAGTCACGGCTGTCTCTCTAGCACCTAAATGGTAAATTATTGACTGACCAATATTTTAAGTTATAGCTTCCAAATTTGATTAAAATTTATCCTTTTGCCTTTTTTTAAAAATATCCCTTTTTCAGTAAAAAAAACCTGAACCTCTATTTTATCACATAGAATATGTGTTTCTTTAAAATTTGTAGAAATGTATTTTTTCCATAAGAACATTCAAATATTTTTAAACCAAAATTTAGTTATCTTTTGCTCAGTTTGTCTAGAAGACAGATTCACAGGCTTAAATACTTCAAGCAGCCTGATTTACCATTTTTGAAGTCATCTCAAACCCCAATTTCATTACTTATCACCTATGTGACCTTTGAGAAATTACTTAACCTTTCTGTGCTTCACTTTCCTCATGTATAAAATATTGTACCTAGCTATAGTTCCTATCTTATATGTCGCTATAAGTTAGATGAGATAATACATGAAGTACATGTCTTGCGTGTACATTGTAGTAAGCACTTATATCAGCTATTCATATAAATGCAAATTTTTAAAATATGCAAGGTTTGTATGAGTTGGCTAAAATTTTCTTGTAAGATAAAAATGGAAGATAAATCAGAATTCTTGATCTGTGGTGGTGCATGGGTCTCTTACTCTTTGGTTTGATCTGACAGCACTATTCTCGTGGAAAAATTGTGAGCCAACTGAACAGTTTTGAAAGAATACTTTAAAAAAGTTATAGGCAACTCAATACTACAAGAACAAAAATTAAAATAACATAATAGCATTTTTCACGTATTAATTTATAAAAGATTAGTAAATGGATAAGAAACCTTAGCCAGAGAATGGAAAAACAGGAACTGTTACCTGTGGTTACTAGGAATACATATTTATATAACCTTGTTAGATTTTGATTTGGTAATGCCTACAAAGTTTTAAAATAAATATAAGTTGTTTTGTTTTGCGGTACTGGGGATTAAACTCAGGACCTTGTGCTTGCGAGGCGGGCGCAGCACCACTGAGCTAAATCCCCGGCCCTAATAAATATAGCTTTTAATGTAAGAATTTAAACACCTGAATGAGAATTTATCCTACAAAAGCAAAAAATAGATATCCAAAGCTCTTCATTTTAGCTTTGGTTATAATTGTAAAAAATAGAAGAGAAGACTCGTTAAATAAATTATTGTTTTGATAAATAGCATAGTGGTTAAGATCATAGAGTCCAAGAGAGGGAGGAAAAAAATAATCAGGCTACAAAAGCCATGCTGCCTGGATTCAGATGAATCCACTATTACTTACTATAGTGTGACCGTATAGTTTCCTAATCTATAAAGTGGACATACAGGCATCTATCTCATAGATTTATAGTAAGCAATATTCATAAAGCACTTAGAATAGTTGCTGGGACACAGTATTACATTGTTCCGTACATATTTTATAATATTCAGACAATGGAATATTACACAACTGTTAGAATATAGTAGATCTATACATACTGACATGTATGACTTGTATACATCCTTATGTACTTGTGAGCTTTTTATCATTGTAGCAAATATCTCAGATGAACTAACTTACAAAGAGTTTTATTTTGGCTAACAATTTTAGAGGTTTCAGTTCATGTTGCTTTTGGGCCTGTGGTAATACAATAAATCATGATGGTAGCATATGGTAGAAAAAGCTGTTGACCTTGTGTTTCTGGGAAGCAGAGATGGAGAGATAGGATTTCACAGTTCCCTTGATGGGGACTCCAGTGACCTAAGACCTTCCACTACTTAGCTTGTAAAAATTCTCTCACCTCCCAGTAGTGTCATAAGTTGGGGACCAAAATTCGGCCTTTGGTTGATAATCTAGCTCAAGAAAGAAAGAAAGAATAAAAGGAAGAACATAAAACATGTATATAATTGTCAGTTAATCCTTTTTTAATCAGTTAATCCTATAAATTAAATATAAAAATATATTCAGGAGTGCTTTATAATTTATTTGGCAGCATTAATTTATGTTGAAAATTAGACACATTAAGACGATAGAGCAGGCATAATGAAATTTTAATAGTATTTTATATTGTTTTCAGTTCCTTTCTATCATAGAAAACTGCCGATTTAAGGCTTTATGTATATAAGGAAAACTTATTTATCCCTGTCCTCTTTGCATACATTCCAAAACTACCCATAAGAGGTGCACCCTGGACCAAGAAATGAAGGGAAGGGAGAAAGAGGACAGATAAAGGGGACGGATAAAATTAAGATGTGTTATATACATATACCAATACACCGCAAGGAAAGTAGTCATTATGTATTGCAAACGTGTACTAAAAAAGAGAGGGAGAGAGATGGGTCCATCCTTAGTCTAGCAGTGCTCCTGGAAATTTCTTAGGTCCAGTAGTCCTGGAATAGGCAATATTGTAGAGAATTCAGCAGTGAACAAGATAGTTTTTGCACTCACTGAGCTGACTTGCCCTAATGATACTTCAAAAATCTGTGCACATTCCAGTGGTGTACAGTTGTATGATTATTTTTCAGCCCTGATTTTTTAGATATTAATTATTATGCTTTCAAAATGTCTAAATACAAAACAATGCTGTCACATATGTGAGCTTTTATATATGCATATATGAAAGTAAATATACTAAAATCTAAACAGAGATAGAAAGATATGATATAATTCAAGACAAAATGAATGTTACAGTGAGTATCTTACAAATATTTGCATAAGCAACCATATAATCATGTAATTTATGTTGGGACAGCAATGTAATTATGTAGTTACTGCTGTATATTACTTTGGTGCTTGAAGGTTGGTATATTTGGTCTTTTTTAATATTATGTCTTTATCTTCTTATAGTCTTATGTCTTATTGTCATAATATAAGTAATAAAAGTATACTTTTGTTTTTAAGATTATGTAAACTAGCTGGGCATGGTAGCACATGCTTGTAATCCCAGCACTCTGAGAGGCTGAGGCAGGAGGATTGCAAGTTTGAGCTCAGCCTGGGCAACTTTGTGACTTAGCAAGATACTGTCTTTAAAAAAAAAAAAAAAGAAAGAAAAAGTTTACATTAACTGAATAAAAAATAGTATAAATAAAGTATAAAATTATTTGGAATAAGCTATAAAATTATGTGGAATGCCAACAGATAAATATCTCTTCAGAAAAACTAATGACATAGACTTCATTGTTTTTTAGGTTTCTTTGGGAGTATATTTGGATTGATGGGTGTGTATGTTTATGATGGAGAATTGGTATCAAAGAATGGATTTTTTCAGGGATATAACCAACTGACCTGGATAGTTGTTGTTCTTCAGGTAAAGCATATAAAGTCTTTAATGCTAATAAATATTATTATAGAGAATCAAAGTAGCTATAAATACACACATACTTATTTTAGGGAAAAAAATTCCCTCTTGTTCTCTCATTGTACTTATTTATTGAGGGAAGTTAAAGTAGAACTGGTCTTGTTGCTCTTATGCAAACTTCAATTGAGAAAGGCTTATGATTAAATTCTGGAGTATTTAAATGCAACCTTATGAAAACACAAATTTAAAAATAAAGTTTAAGCTTAAGAGTAAACAGAACTTTTAGGTTCTCCGCAGTTCTGTCATTACATAGAAGGTATGTGGTGTAAAAACCCAAGAAACATACTTACTTCGGTAACAATTTTAAAATTGAATTCATAGTTACATACTAGAAGCTGTCACAGGGCTGGGGATTTAGCTCAGTGGCGCCTCGCCTGCCTTGCAAGCACAAAGTCCTGAGTTCAATCCCTGGTACTGGGAGAAAAAAAAAAATAGAAGCTATCACATTTCTTCAGCTCATATCTAACTTGAAATTGTTCAAGAGTGGAGTAATTTTACCTTCAAAAAATACTCATTTTGAGTAGGACATAATGGTGCATGCCTGTAATCTCAGTACTTAGGAGGCTGAGGCAGGATGTTTGCAAATTTGAGGCCAGCCTGACTACGCAGTGAGTTCAAGGCCAGTCTAGACTACATAGCAAGACCCTGTCTTGGAAAAAAGTTGTTTTTCTAGTGCTGGGCATAGTGGTGCTCACTTGTATTTTAAGCTAATTAAAAGGCTGAGGCAGGAGGATCACAAGTTTGAGGCCATTCTAGGCAACTTAGTGAGACCCTGTCTCAAAGAATAAAATGGGCTGGAAATGTAGCTCAGTGGTAGAGTGCTTGCCTAATGTGTTCAAGGCCCTGGATTTAATCCTCTGTACCACAGAACAAAACAAAAGGAAACCACCATAAACATCAAACCCTCCCTACCCTCACATGAAACTTACTCAATACTCAAATGAAAATAAAGATATAAATCATTGCCTTCAGGTTTTGGATTTAGGACTTCTTGGATTTTAGAATATTTGCCTATACATAATGATGTATCTTGAAGATGGAACTTAAGTCTAAACACAAAATTATGTTTTGTTCTGTTCCCCCCAGCCCCACCCCTGGCCCAGTACTGGGGATCGAACTCAAGATCTTGCACTTGTGAGGCAGGCAGGGCACCATTGAGCTAAATCCCTGGCCCAAAATTATGGTTTTTTAGATATATATACATACTGCAGGTAATTTTATACAGTACAGTATTTTCTTTCTTTTTTCTTTTTTTGAAGGGAAGGCGTTTATTTGGCTTACAGTTCATAGAAATTTCAGTCCATAGTTAGCCGGCTCCCAGGCAGGGATGACAAACAGGCATTACACACAAGGCAGCAAAGGTAACAAGAGAGAATTACCAGTGTCTCCCTACCCCCTTTATCTTATTCAGACTACTTAGTGTGGGAAGCGCTCACACCCTTGAGCCTAGCATTGCATCTTGAATCAATTCCAGCTTCACACACTCTAGATCAAGTCTATGACCATGTGAGGCTTTGGGGAGACATCCAGACCCAAACCATGACATTCCAGCCCTGGACCCCCAAAGACTCATGTATATTACTCTTTTGGAGGGGAGGTTACCAGGGATAGAACTTAGGTCCTTCTGCTTGCAAGACGGGCAACGGAACCACTGAGCTAAATCCCTGGCCCTCATGTATATTACTTTGCATAAAAGGCGTTTAGTCCATCTCTAAGAGTTGCTGAAGTCCTGAAAGTTTCAGCATTGCTGAAAAGTCCAAGTCCAAAATCTCCTTTGAAATTTAAGGCAAACTTTTAAGTGCAAGGCCCTGCACAAAAAATAAGAAAGTTAAACACTTCCAACATTCAATGGCACAAGATAGACTTTAACATTCCAAAAGGTAGTAATAGGAGGATACAAAGGGCTGGGACCAAAGTTAAGTCCAAAATCCAGCAGGGCAAACATTAAGTCCTGTAGTTCCATGTGTAGCATCTCTGGCAGTCTGTGGTAAATTATGAACTCCAAAGGGATTGGGTGTCTCTACCTCTGTGGCACTTCTGGTGGTTGTAGCACCCATAGCTTCTCTCTTGGGCTGGCTCTGCTTCCTCCTTGAAGTTTTCCTCAGATGATCCACGCTCCTGGCCTCTCTAAACTTCCAGGGTCTCTACTGCTCCTTTGGCCGCACCTTTGGCTGCACACAGCTTCACACATTGCCCTCTCAGAGGCACCCTGTCTGGCTTCCCAGGCCTGCTGAAATCTGGGTGGAAGCCTTTGTGACCCCCACGATTTTTGCATTCTGGATGTACCTAAAACTAGTGCCATGTGGGTGATGCCAAGGTCTTCTGCCAGCTGGAGCATGAGTAACCAGTCTTCCCTCTCTCGGCTGTAGGGGTCCAGTGCCTATGAACCAAATCCCCAGGAACAACTTCCTTAGGCTACCACCATTCTGGAACATGGATCTAGGGCTTTCTTCTCAAAGAAAGTTCCTTCATCTTTATAACTCTGTGGCTGCAAAAAGTGGATTCCTGTTGCTTCTTGTGATGCCCTCAGGCCATCTTTTCTCTTCTCTTCTTCCTTTTAGCAATCACTATCCCCTTTGCCTTCTTTGCAGTCCACAGCTTTGTTAGTGCTTTCTTTCTGACTAAATGCAAATCATTTTAAATCATTCTGCTGGGCTTTTTGTCCTTGATTCTCAGTATAGACCTGGCTAAAAGCCCTCAACAGTAGCCATGCCATTGCCTCAATATTTGACTGACTGGAATTTTCTTCTGCAAGATTAATTAGTCCACTGCCCCCAATCTCAGTCTCAGGCAAAGTCTCTGGACATAAACAAAATGCAGACAAACTTTCTGCCAGGCAATAACACACATCCATTGTCTGGAGACTAACAGCCAATGCAGTCCTTCTTCCTAGCAGAAATTTCCTGAGCCTGGTCTTGGAAGCTTTCTGGTCTGAGCTCTGAGCAGAATCTCCCATGCAGAACAACCTAAGGTGTTCCAGCGCAACTTCTATAGCCAGCATCTCCAGATCTTTCCTAACTTCCCCTTCCCACAGGCTAGTTCCAAAGGCTTTTGAGCCACATGGCCAGGTAATGTCACAGCAACAACTCCACTTTTCGAGTACCAAATTCCTGTTACCTTTCTCTCTCATTGCTGAGACAAAATACCCAATATCTAAAATTAGAAGGGAATGGGTTTATTTGGTTTACAGTTCATAAAAGTTTCAGTCCATAATCAGCCTGTTCCAAGACAGGGATGACAAACAGGCATGGCAGAGTAGAAACAACATGGCACACGCAAGGCAGCAAAGGTAATGTGATAATTCAGTACAGTATTTTCAATATAGCTGTCTTGTGACTGTAATCCATCATTGCAGGTCAAGGATGGAATTTTCCATTTGTAGCATTATGTCAGGGTTCAAAAATACTTAGGATTTTGATGCATTTTGGATTTGGATGAGGGATACTCAGCTTTGAAGTAAACACTTTGCAGTGCTTGGGATTGAACCTAGTGCCTCAGAAATGATAGAGGAGTCCTCTACAACTAAGCCATGCCCTGACTCCCTGTCACCCTCATTTTTTAGCCACAATCTGGAATTTGAGAGGGATTTAGTAGAAAGTTATTCATATACTTATAGAGTGCATAAGGCTGGGAGTATAGCTCAGGGTAGAGTGCTTGCTTACCATATGTAAGGTCCTGGGTTCTAGCCCCAGCCACCAGGAGGGAAAGAAAAGAAGAGAAAGGTGGGACATAGTAGTGCGTGCTCGTAATCCTAGTACTTTGGAGCCTGAGGCAGGAGGATTGCCTCGAGTTTGAGGCCAGCCTAGGCTAAATAGTTGAAGGGCAGATTGAACTACATAGTGAGACCTATCTCAAAAAGTCAAAACACAAGAAAGGGCTAAGAGCACTATTAGTACTGTACTTTAGGAAGAATAACCTCAACAATGAGAAATGGATTAGAATAGGGAAAAATCTACAAGAAAGCCAAGTTGGGAGGCTGTTGAAAGGTTAGTAAAAACAAATTGGGGGGAGCTGCAGATGTAACACAGTGATAGAATGCTTATCTAGTATGCAGGAGGCCTTAGGCTCAGTCTCTTTAGTACTGGGAGGAAAAAAAAATAACGCTAAATGCGATGGGATATGCTTATAATCCCAGCTACCCCTAACTGAAGTAGCAGGACTGTCAGGTCAGTTTAGAGCAATTTGGGGAGTTCTGTGAAAGTGAAGTAAAAAGGGAGGCTAGGGACATGGGTTTAGTGCTCCCTGAGTTTAGTCCCCATTAACACGAAGACAAAAACAAAAGAACTCATACCTTTAGAATTAACTTTTACTCAAAAGTAAAACTTTTTCACTATTCAGTAACCAGTTTTTTTCTATATTCATCTAAACAAATGATGTTTAACTGCTAATTTGGGTAAGGATAGATTTTTTTTTTTTATCATAATATTACCAAGTGCAGGTCTAGAAGCTTATCCCATTGAAAAACCAGAGTGATGGGGAGAGAAGGATTTATTCATGGCCAAAGAATGAGGAAGAGGGAAATTTGCTCACAAATCAGCTTCTCAACTCCAGAACAATTGAGGGATTACAGATACAGGATAGGAGTTATGAGAGAGAGAGAGAGAGGAGGAGGGGCAGATAGGGTGATTAAGGGGATGAATATTCATGTTTTAGACTAGGTGACCTTCCAGGAACTTGGTACCACTTCTTTTTATCCTTTTATGGTTTGATGTTTCTGGTCATGTGGCTGGTAGGTGTCTTTAACCCCAAAGGGGACGGGGAAATACTAGGCAAGTCTAGGTCAAGTTGAATCTATATTATAGTTTTAGGCAAAATATTTCAAAAATAATCCATGTGTCTACATGCAGTGCTGAGTAGAATCTTACTCAAAGATTAAGGCAACACAGGAAACAGAGTATGTGAAGAGAGGACAAGCATCTTTATCCAATTTTGGCCTATTCTGGTCACCCATCACATATCTCCAGGCCCTAGTGAAGGGTCAGTATTTTCAGCAAAAGTGGCCTCAAGTCCCTGAAAAGTAATGTAGGCAACTATTATAATGTCATATCAGTGGTATTTACAGCAAAGCTAGAAAGAAATTTTTGTATTGCACAGAGATGTGAGCTCCAAAATGAATGATTAAGTTGACTAAGAGCAAGTGAAGCTGAAGGGTGTATTTGGTCTGCCCTCTGATAGTTTCTTTATTAGATACCTTTTAAAAATAAGAGCGATATTGAACCAAACCTATGAATCTACTGGTTATAAGAGATGCTTAACGTATATCATTTACAATAGTGAGATTAAATTTATAGGACAAAAGCCTAAAGCTTCATTGAATAATAAAAAATAATCTCTTAAAACTTTTACAGGCACTTGGAGGCCTTGTTATAGCTGCTGTGATTAAGTATGCGGATAATATTTTAAAAGGATTTGCAACATCTTTATCTATAATATTATCAACACTGATATCCTATTTTTGGCTACAGGATTTTGTGCCAACAAGGTAAAATATTCTTTTTATTTAATCTCCATAAGAATATAGAAAATTAAGAATTCTTCTTACAGTGGTCCTATTACAACTTTTATAATTTTAAATGTAATTTTAGAACTCATTTAACTATCTTAAAAAAAATACTTCAAACTAAATACATGAAGGAAAATTTTCTACCAGAAACTTTGTACAAATTCGGATGGCCAGATTATCATAATAGATTAGAACGTTTTTCTCCTAAAGCAAAAAGTCATATAAAATTTTTATAAGTCATATAAAATTTTTATAAGTCATATAAAATTATAAAATCATGACATTTTATTTTATTTTTTGTCCCGGGGATCAAACTCATGACCTTGGGTTTTTTTTTTTTTTTTTTTTAATGACCTTGCATTTGAGAGGCAGGCATTCTGCCACTGAGCTAAATCCTCAGCCCAATCATGACATTTTAAATGCACAATTTATGTAACTAAATCCAGGAAAGTAGATGATTCTTGAAGAAGATAATTTATATGGAGAAGGTGGCTCAAGAGAAGCCTCAATTCAATAAGCAAGAAAAAGAGCATGGAAAGGAATTGTAAAAGGAGTAGCAAAAGGTAAGGCAGGAGACACAGGACTTTGTGGTGTCATGGATGCCACGTGAGGAGACAGATTCAGGAAGAATTAAGCATAATGAGTACTCATTACAGATGGTATTGAAGGTTCTATGATTTTTTTTTGCAATTTATAATCCCAGACTAATGGGATTACATTTTAATGGCTTTCAGGATATCATTTTTACTTTGCTTGCAGCTTCACCCCCATTCTGATTTTCTCAGTCTTTAAACTTTGGAGCCTTATCTGTGCTCATTCAGTCTCATTTAAATTTGAATTTGAGACTTCTATATCTATGTAGGTGTCACTCCACATTTTCACTCTAAAATTCACTAGATACTCATTTCCTGTTCCTGGCAAGTTTTCCCAATTTGGTAAATGGTAGCTAATTCATTGTTCCACTGGTCTAGGCCCAAATCTTCCTTGACACAGGGACACAATTTATCCACCATAACACAGTAACCTAAGAGAAACTAGTATTTATAGATGGATTATGGAACATTTCTTTTTTGTACCAGGGATCAAACTCAGTACTTTGTGCTTGCAAGGCAGGTGCAGGTGTCACTGAGCTAAATCCCCAGCCCTGGAACTTCTGAAGACGGGAAGCAATTAGAGGATTTCTGAGCCTAGCAGTGATATATTTGATTTATAATACTAAAAATAAAATGATTCTGGTTGTTAAATAGAAGACTGAGTATGCCCAGGCAAGAGGAGAAACAAGCAATCCAGCCAGAAAACAATTTGTCTAAGTCTGATAAAAATGAGGGTAGCTGAAACAGGATGGTTGCAGTGGAGGTTATGAGAAACAGTCTGACTTTGGCGATATTAAAAGGAAGGGTTGACAAAATTTGTTTCTTCATTAAAAACAAGGATAAACTGATGACCCAACTTCTTACTGTACTTTAAAAAATTAAGAAGTTTCACATTTACGTCAACACTTGTTATTAATCATGGTTATTATTGATGATGATGGTAGTTATTATATATGATGGGCACTGGTGATACAACAAGTCTACAGCACATGGTTGAACAGGGAAGCAGATAAGTGAAGGAATTATTTAATAGGATTGTGATGTGTTCTAATAATGTAACTTTGCCTAGGGAAATGAGTCTTATAGATAGTAGACCTGAATTGTTATGAATAAACACTTCTTGAGGAAAGGAAGTATAGACTGAGGGCATGTCTGAAAATACTGTCGATAGAGATAGAGCACATTTGATCGGCAGAGCTGACTTATACATTGGGTGAGGAGGAATCTGAGAGAATGAGGTTGAAGGAACAATATTAGGAAAGGTCTTTGATATCATAATAAGGATCTTTTACATTTATAGAACAGATTTTTTTTTTAAGATCAGAAGAATGACTTTGAACTGTTAATAGGTTTAAAACCAAGATTAATTTATGACTCAGTAACAGCATTTAAAAAGTATGCAGCTGATGCTGCCTGCCTCAAAAGTGCAAGGATCTGAGTTTGATCCCCAGTACCAAAAAAAAAAAAAGTATGCAGCCAGTTGTGCTGGGGCATGCCCATTATTCCAGCATTAGGCAGGCTTGAAACAGAAAGATCAGTATGATTTCGAGGTCAGGCTAGGCTACATAGTGAGTCCTCCCCAACAAAAAAATATGCATTTTATTTTATTTTTGTTGTTGTTGTTGTTATTTTTTGAGACAGAGTCTCACTATGTAGTTGAGACTGACCTGGAACTCACTATTTAGCCCAGGTTGGTCTTGAACTCTGTGATCCTCCTGCCTCAGCCTCCCAAGTGCTGGGATTACAGGCATGTGCCACCACGCCCAGCCAAGTATGCATTTTAAAAGTTTAGTAGTCTAGTTTATATCCAGTTTAAATTCATTTCCAATTTATATGAAGTAGATTGTATCTGTAGATCGATGAAAAAAAAAAAAAAAACCAAAATCATGAACTCCTTGCAATTAATCCAGTTTCCTTGGTTAAGCATTCCACAAAAATCAATTCTGAGCTTTGGATATTATTTTGGGTTTTAAACTGACTTTGCCAGGATTTGACATAAAAGAATGAAATTCTACTTTTATAATTTCATGTAAAGAATTGAGACCTTTTATCATTGCATGCAAAATGCATGTTATGGTGAAATAAAGCATTATAAATATTTGTTTTGGGAAACTTTATAGAATAGTAGATGAGAGTGCAGGCTCTAGAGTCAAACTCACCTAGACTAGAATCCTGTTTTCCACTAAACCTGTGGGCTTTAGGTATTTATTCACACTAAATTTGTTTCCTCATTGGTAAAATATGAAGCTAATACTAGTATTTCCCAAAGGGCCATTTTGAGGATTGGGATGCTTATCCAGCACCTCAGCACCTAGAATGTAGGATGTTCTCTATTCTTACTGGAGTATCTGCTCCTCCCAGTACAGTTGTTTACTAAAGACATAGATCTTGTTTTGCCTTTATTCTGATTTTCATCTTTTATTTTTCTTTTATTTAGTGTATTTTTCCTTGGAGCCATCCTTGTAATAACAGCTACTTTCTTATACGGTTATGATCCTAAGCCTGCAGGAAACCCCATGAAAGCATAGTCATGAACTATTGTTTACTGGTTTTTCATCATGGTGCACTAGGAATCTCAACATCAGTCTTCCACAGAGGATGTCTACAGATTTTCTGAAGAAAATGTCATCCTGAATCTGACCGTGTTGTTCAAAGGTTTGAAAAATATACATGCTTAAGGATAAAGCATGTACTGTATATGTGACAAAACACATTACATTCAGATTCAAAACTTGAAAGTATTTCCAGGAATTTGAATTGGAAAAAATATTTCAGGAAACTTGAAATCTAAGTTTAAAAAGAATCTACCTTTTGATTGCTGCAGAAATGTCCTATGCACTCTTTGTAAGAGCACACAAATGTCAGATACCAATTTTTGCAAATTAGATGTATTTACTCATGAAACCTTTTATTCTTTCTGTAAATATCAAATCACATGGAATATTTAAAATTTGAAAATTATAATTAACTACACAGCTGTGAAAAGATAGAAGTATGATTTGAAAAACATTTTCACAGTCTGAGATTTTTATATTTACAACAAAAGATTATTGAGCCTAGGATTGCTAAATATTATTTGTTAAATTATGTAAAATTTGATAAAATAATATTCTGGATCTGGTTTTTCAGAGAATAAAATTCATATTTAAATTTAGTGTAGAAAAACTATGTCTCCACATATATTCTAAGACCTTTTAGTACTTTGCAACACCTAAAAACAATCCAGTTGTTCTTGTGTTCCATAGTAGCTGGTGACTTTTATAAAAATGGAGTTTTACCCCTTAATCTCTTAATTGCATTTCTTTTCTATATATGAGATAAATCCTTAATATCACTTTACATTTGTATGTGTTAATTGCCATTAAAGTTTTAAAATTCAATCTAATTGGATTAAATACTCATTTATTGATTTAAAATAATCACTATTATCTAATTACCTCCATTTGGAAAATTTTGAAATATCAAGCATATACTGTATACAACTAGAAAGTTTTAAAATGGTTATTTTGCTCATTGAGCTATGGAAATTTCCTTTAATCTACTACTATTGGAAAAAAAACAACTAAAAAAAATAGTAGTGCAGGTAAGAGTAGACCAAGAACAGTCAGATGTGGTGTCACACACCTGTGATCCCAGCATTTGGGAGACAGAGGCAGGAGGATCACCACAAGTTTGCAGCAGCCTGGGTTGCATATCACGAGTTCAAGGCCAACCTGAACAACCAGAAAGACCTTGTCTCGAAAGAAAAAAAAGACCAAGACAAAAATGGCTTTTCTTGTAGACATTCCCTATAGACATATTACATTACTTTAAAGAGCACTAGTACTTTAAATTTAAGTCTGGTCAAAGAACTTCTAAGATATCTCCTAAGCCTGCTGTCCCCAGGGATACTGTGACTTTTCCATTGGGAGATGTAGCTGAACTCTGAATTCTTATGTCCCCATAGAGCTTCTGAGAAAGAACCACCATTTTACTTTAAAATAGTGGAATATTTTTCCCTTTTAACACTGGAGTTGAGATTGCAAATTATATGAATTATTTAATAAGTTGGTTCAGAGGAGAGAGGATATATTAGAAATAATAAAATGAGTTAGTGGGCAAATATGCTTTCTATAATTGGGATATAGGTTTAATTTAATTATGAACTATATACAGAATTACCTACTGGGTATAGTATTTTATTTTTTCATTTATACTGTATATATTTTTAAATACTTCTAATAGAAAAACTGTAAAAATACATATTTTTATATAATTCTAATGGATGTCGTTAAGTAGAATTTGACTCAAAAATAGTGTTGCTGCAAACTGTTGGGTACTCTTGGCTAATTTGGACTGTCTGTGTTACCTTGATAATGCATATAGCCTGCAGATTGTAGGTCTAATCAGCTTCATCCGGGGTTTCAAATTACTGAAGATTACAAAATATTTAGAATCAATTTGCTGATGATAACAAAATGGCACCAAGCAAATTTTCTGGATGGTAGAGTTCAGATTTTTGCTGACTACCTTCTAGAATATTTTGTTTAATAACTTTACCTCATTTTGAATATTGTGTTTTTAGGACTACAACAACATTCAAGCTTATAGCTTATTTTCTACTACTAAGTGAAATTAAATTATATAACTACACAGAATTCAACACTAAATCTAAAGATGTTCAGCTTACATTGAAGTATTGTTTGGGTGATTATTAATTCAGTGTACATTCACATTTGTTAATTTAGGTTTAGTCTGCCCTATTTTAACATTTAAAATTTACAGCAGCAGCAATTATTGGACATTAGATATGACAGAGTAATAACACATTTCTAGGTGTTCATTTTCAAGATTCCAATAAAGCTTATAAAAATATAATTAAGAGATGGGGGCCAGGGATTTAGCTCAGCGGTTTGGTGGCCTGCCTTGCAAACGCAAGGACCCGAGTTCAATCCCCGGTACCAAAAAAAAAAAAAGAATCTGCTTTGCCATTAAGATGACTGTCTCGGTTTGCCCAAGACTATCCTGGCTTTGGGAGTGAAAGTCCTGCTCACCCTACTAACCATCCAAGGCATTCACCACGCAGATCATTAGGTGTAATTTTTATTTTGCTTTTCTAGTAGATTTGAAACTTACTGGGCTATATAGTTTCTGTTAATTCATAAAGAAATAGTAATGTTTGAGAAGAATTTGGTCCTTGGATCATGTCATTATATATATAGCTAATGCCATTTTATGTAAGTGGTTTGTGTTTTGATGACCTTTTAAGGTCTTATATCAAGCTTTTATAACAATGACTCTTTGATTCTTTACAATTATTTCTATGCTTTTAAAAGTGAATTTGTTATCTCTCAAGTACTTTGTTCAATGTGAAAATGCGTTCATTTGTGAGAGAAGAGTGCCAATTGATAATACTATTAAAAATTAAGAATATGGGAGGCTGGGGATTCAGCTCAGTGGTGCCATGCCTGCCTGACAAGCACAAGGTCCTGAATTTGACTCCCAGTACCAGAAAGAAAAAAAAAAAGAATATGGTATTGGGAAGAAAAGTTTGAAATACAATAGGTAGATGTTTCAACACAGTAATATTGTCAATTTTTAAATATGTGATTTTAGAGAAATTGTAATCTACTTTAATGTGGATTGTATACTTTAGAGATGCAAAACTTAAATGTTTACATGAATTTATTTTGAATGTCATAGAATTTCATAGAAAGGAAAGGCAGTTTGATATTTTAACTAGATTTTAATAACAGAATTTGAAAGAAAACTAATTAACATTTTGGTCTGTACACTTAGTGTAATCCAGAATATTCTTACATATTAAATGATTGGACTTTTTACTGAAACTGAGTCACTCAAACTGAGATTTTTGTTTTAAAGAAAAGGCTTAGCATCATTCATTTAAACAGTCACTGTAAACATATTTAATAACTGTACTGTATATGTATGCTTTACATAAGGAAAGATTTATAAAAGTTATTTATGCTGTATTAAAAGTCATCTTAATAATCTCCAGGATATTTAAAGTAGTTATATAGGGCCAAAGAAAAAGTACCTTTATCAAAATCTGGTCCTATGTGCCTCAGTTTACCAAATACTTGATTTTTCTGGAGGATATTACTGTAATTCAAGATGTTAGAACACATGAGCAAAATTTGTTTCGAGATTAACTATAATTCTTTTGTATATTTTAGTTTCAAGATTTGCTCTTTAAATCTATTACCTAAAAAGTTAAAATAGGTATACTGTAAAAGCATTCGTGAATAATACTCATTAAATTAATTATGGCACCTGTACCATCATTCACCTTTTTTTTGTATATAATTGTCATTTTATTGTTTCATTTCTTATGATGTAATTTACTGTAATTTAAAAAATATTTTGGAATGATTTGGATCTTGAATTTGTCTGTGTCTGTATTTCATTTGTTTAGAAAGATTCTTTTGGGTTTGGGAATGAGATTTAAAATTTTTATGGATATAATACAAAGGAATGTATAAACTAGTCTCTTTTTGATTTTGAATTGATATATTTCCCTCGTCGTTTTTGATATCCATTATCTATTTAATAGATTATTGAAATAGATTTAAAAATAATTCTATATAGATTTTTCTGGCTGGGGATTTAGCTCAGTGGTTCCGCAGCCTGCCCTGCAAGTGCAGGGACCTGAGTTCGATTCCCAGTACCAAAAGAAAAAACAAACAAGAAATGGAAATATGCCTCAATCAAAAAAGAAATGAACATCAAAATATAGATTTTTCTTATATTTCCTTGTTTCCCTTTTTATTTGCATCTGTGGCTTAATCACTGAATCATTCTATTCTTTTAATATCAAAATGAATTTCTGGTCTTTAACATTTTTCTCATATTTGATTGTCCTTTTCTCTAGCCTGTGATCTAGCATGAAAGACTGGGTTTTATTTAAACTAGTTAGAATTTGTCTGTCTGTATGATGATAACAGCCCAAACATTTTATTTAAAATAAAATATTTCTGTGCTAGCTTCAAGGTTATGCATAGTAATTCATTATATATTGTTTACACAATTAGAAAACTATTTCTATTGTGACTATCAGTTCAATTCATAAAGATCAAATGTAATAAGCAATATGTAGGATTTTATTTCCACTTCTGCTGAAACTTTACACAACATGCTTTATTTTAAAAGGACTCTAAAGTAAGAATATTAGCTTTTTTTTTTAGCTGCTCGCCTACCTGGCCTTAGACATGCGTGCTCAGGTGATCCTCCCACCTCAGGTTCCCCAGTAGCTGAAACTATAAGCAATCCCGACATGCCTAGTATAACTGATGATTTTGTTTTCTTTGTCCGTGGTACTGAGGATTGAACTCAGGGATTGCCGAACTACATCCTCAGCCTTATTTTAAAATTCTGAGACAGGGTCTTACTACATTGCTGAGGTTGGAGTTGGAATTGTGATCTTCCTGCCTTGGCCTCAGCATGGAGTAGCAGGGCTTCCACTGAATTATTTATTTAGACATTATATCAGAGAGCAAAATGGTGATTTAAAACCTTTTAAAAAATTCTCTAATTTCCCTCCACATTCCTTAGTTTATATTCTTCTATTTAAAAAAAGCAAAACTTTATTTTCCCCAGTGCCTCTCTTTTCAAAGATCATTATGTCTTCATGAATTGCAGGGTAGCTCAGACTTACCATATACTTGCATTGTTCAAAACCTGGAATATCAGCTGTTTCTCCCAGGAGTTCTGTCCCTTTAAAGAGGAATGGAATTCAGAATCTATTGTTGCTTACCTGTTACTACTTTTAGGTCACCTCTGTGGACAGAGCTAGAAAATACATTTTTAAAAAGATTATGAATTCAAATCAGTATTTATAATTAAAAGTTTGATGTCACAATTTTTAATTTTTTTATTTTGCTTGTCTTTCTTCCTAGAGTGAAAATCTTGCTTCCCAATAACAATATATTTGCTTATATTTTATTATACATATTTCAAAACTACAGTACCAGTATTTTTACTGAGTAAAATACAAGTGCTCTTTGCATTTCTATGTTAGCATATAGCCTATAGAAAAGACATAGTCAGAGGATGTGTTCAAATTCAGTGTTAAACACTTCTCATTATCAGTGTGTGAAAAGATTCATTCGTTTTTATTAGCAGTTTTGTAAATTACCTTAAAATTTTTCTTCATTTTGAAAATGTGAATCATGTATTATATAGTTCAAAAGTTATTAAAGGTAGGAAAAAACCCAGAGGGTTAAGGGGAAAAAAACAGGCTATCCGAAGTAAGTTTGGGCTGAGTAAAAAGGAAGGAAAAAATAAACTAATACACCCTACAGTGTAGATGGGCTGTTGTGATGAGGCATGACAGGTAGCGCTTAGAGACAACTGCCTTTTTCATATTTCCCATTCCGGCTCATGTCTAGGTCATCCTATCAAAAACTACTCGAGTTCTGCTGAGAAGTCCCATGCAGGGCACTTAGAATTGTTTTGTGTGTCAAGCCTCCTTCACAGCTAGTTTTAGTCACCTATATTCTTGCCTCAGTTATTAGTTTTCTTACTCAATTCTTGGCCAGATACTGTTCTGGGTTACTCAGTAAGGGATCGGAAGTACACAATTCTCTGAGTTGTGGCACATGCAAAATTAATTCTAGAACTTGGGTAAAGTATATAGCTTTCTTGTAAAAGTGTTTGGAAAATGTTGCTCCACTGTTGGCAAGAAGTCTGGCACCAAGTGATTTGCTTCCTCTTTGGAAATTATTTTGTTGATATTTGCCTGGAAACCTACATAATTTTTTGTATATAATTTTCACCCTGATCTTTTAAAATCTCTTTTCATTTTGTTCTCATAGTTGTTGGGTTCCTCTTTACTGTTTGTCTTCATTTGTATCTGTTTTCTTGGATACCCTGCATTTTAGTTGTCATTTTAAAAATATCTTTTTAGTACACCGAGCAACTATCACCTTCGTTGTTTTAAAATTTTGTTTCTATCTACAGTTGCTTAATAGTTAATTCATGTCGGAGCATTGTATGTAGTTTTCCTTTGTTTATTTTCTAGAGGGCAGTATTTCCTGTAGAGAGTGGGTTTTCCCTACAGGCATCTAGACATAGTATTTCACTGAGCTACACCCCTAACAAAATTTTGTTGCTGAGTTGTCATTGTTTTCAGATGGGGCTATGTTGTCAGGGCTGTTCTTGCACTCCTGATCTCAAGTAGTCCTCCCTCCAACCTCAGTCAGCCTTCCCAGTAACTGGGTTTATAGACATGCGCCTCTGTGTCTAGCTTCTATTGATTGAAAAGCTTTCATTCTCTACTTTCTTTTTATAGTAGCTTTTTATGGATATTTGGCTTTTCTAGTCATATAAAGTGTAGGATTTTCTTGTAGCCTCAATAATATAGGTGATTCAGTGGAATGTAAATGACATCAGTTTCCTTGGTTAAAGCTTTCTGTTAGCATCGTGAAGTGCATTTTCTTTGATAAATGGCATTTTCCAGGTGAGGTGGTGCACTCATATAATTTCAGCACTCTGAGAAGCTGAAGCAGGAAGATTCCAAGTTTTACTCCAGACTGGACAATTTAGTGAGATTGTCTAAAAAGAAAAAAAAACATAACAAAAAAACACTGGCTGAGTGATATAGCTCTCCATGCGATCCTGGTTTGTTTAATCTATAGTACTGCAATCAACCAATCAATGAGTGGTACATTTGGGGGGTGGGAAATGGGTTTTAGATTCTGCTAATTTCTTCAGGAGTCTGTAGTACAGCCACTTGCCCTTCTCACCCAAGAGTCTCTCTCTCTCCCTTTTTGCCTCATGAACTGCTCTTTTCTGCTTGTTTCCAAACCTAACTCTGTCCTTACTGTTAATTCCAGTATTCAATTCCAGTATTCTTCCAAATAATTTTATTTTGGGTCATGTTAGCCAATGCTAGTTTCTATTGACTCAAACTAGGAAATTGACTTACTGCCTCTTCACATAAAGCTTGTTTGTGAACATTCTCAATAAATTACATAAAAAGCCACAAGTGTATAGACAACAGATATTAGGATTGATCTGAAATTCTCTTTCTTTTGTGTGGGGGTGGTTGTGTGTGTGGTCTTGGGCTTGGACCTAGAGCCTACATCCTAGGCAAGTACTATACCATGGAGCTACATTCCTAGCCCTTAGGTTTTTAAAAATGTGTCCCCCACTAGAATGCAACCTCTATGCACTGATGTCTAAAAATGTGACATGCAGGTACTCAATATATTTTGAATCACCAGTAACTATTTCCAAATGATTGGTTCAGTTGGACAAGTATGATTTGAGGGGCTACGAAAAGTCAGAGTAACCACACAATAAATTACCTTACCAGCTCTCTGCATTCATCTAAAACATATTGTTGAGGATTTAGTTATAAAATATTTTATATTACTTTCTGTAAAGGGCTTCAAGTTGGAGTTCATCTAAAATTATATAAGAATATTTTTAAGAATTAAGTATGAGTTTATTAAAAAATATAACAGGAAATCTATCAGACTAACATGCTTTTCTTTTCCCTGCTGTGGAAACTGGTTTATTTTCCATTTTTAGACAATGTGGAAATAGGAACAAAAAGTACAAATTTTAACATTTTATTTTGAAAAATTTCAAACTTACAGTCAAGTTGCTAGAGCAGTACAAAGAAATCACATTCTCTTTTACCCTGCTCTTCTCTTTTACTCTATGTACTTATTTATATAATAGGGGTAAATAATAAATAATAAACTGCCCTAAAGTTAAGTGGCTTAGAACAGTACTTTCCTATCCCAGTTCTGGAGGAAAACCTGGGTCAGAGTGTGACTATGCTGGTGGACCCGGCTAAGGATTTCTCAGGAAGATGTCAGGATTCAGGCAATGGGTGCTGTCAGCTACAGGCTCGCGCGGCTCTGGTGGGGCCCGGTTCCTGGAAAGCAGGCCTCTCCATAGCTGCTCGGGTGACCTCATGACACCTGCCAGACTCAGCTCTTTTATGACCTGGCTATGAAGTTTTGTTTTTTTCTTTTCAAAAGAAAAAATTAAACCCAGGGCCTTTGCACATCTCTAGCCTTTGTTTTTTTTTTTCTTTGAGTCATGGTCTTGCTAAATTGTCCAGATGGGTTCGCTGGAACTTGCCATTCTATTTAAGCCCGGCTCAAAATCAGAATTTTATACCGTAGTTAGGCTTTATAGTTCACATTCCACTTGGGTCAATTACTCTTTATTAAAAATCTCCCATCCCCAAATTGATTTTTAAATAAAATAGTAAATAACGGCCCTCAAAGTGTGACACAGATCATGTAAACTTTTATTAGCAAGGAAATAAAAAGGTGCAGACCTGTAATCTCAGCACTTTGGGAGGCGGAGCTGGGAAGATCCCAAGTTCCAGCCACCCTTGGACAATTTAGCAAAACTGCCTCAAATTTTTAAAAAAGGGCTGGAAAAGGAGGTCAGTGGGGAAGGCCCTGGGTTCACTCCCCCACTCCCACCCCAAGTCCCGCAAACAAAAAAAATCGAACTTTACCTCTTAAGTTATCTACTGGAAAAATTTTTTTCTTGCTATTGCTATCATTTCCGTCTTGGTTAGAACACACTTGGAGGTTGTATTCATAGTTTCGGACTTGTGGTTACAATTCCAGTTGCAACCGTTGAACAGCCACCGGCAGGTAGCAACTTCCTGAAACAGGACTCTTAACACCTGTGAAGCAGAGCAGCCCAGGTCCCGCCGCTCAGCCACGCCGAGGTTCCCGCGAGGGCGGGGCGGGGCC